GCTGCGCCACCAATCAATTAATTGAGGTCAAATAATTGCAATTAATTTCCACCCCAATAAACTTTTCGGTAGGCCTGCTGTAAACCATACTCTTCGTTTCACTTCCGTGAAACTCCGCTCCTGGTACCCACAATAATTAATCCGATAGTAAGAACGTTTCTTGTTGATATAATAGGTCCATTTATTATTTGAAACAATAACAGTAAATAAAAAAAAATTGCGAATCCATTACTACTCCGAATATTTGAATAATTTACATTGCCCCAAATCGTTGGGCATGTGCTCTTCATATTATCAAATAACTCGCTCTGCTTTTGCTTACAACCAACTGTAAGTTCTTGGACAACTTTATAAATTTAAAAAATATTTATTAATATCATTTGCAACGGCATTAAAAGAGGATGCTTGCATCGCTTGATTTATTAACAACCAACATAGAAAGAGTTTAAAATAGGCTCCACAAATTTTAATTATGATAGTCCCTGACTAACGAAGGGAAGGGTTCACAGCTATTTTTGGTCATGTATATCTGATTCCGACGAAGTTTTTAAAAGTTCAAACATATTTTTTATTTCACGAAACTCTAATTAAGCAAAAAAAATCTATGTAATAAGAATTTATTTATATAAGCATCGCATATGTTAAGATCATTTACTTATTTAAGTATTTAAATGATGTTTTCTCAAAAACTACGCACTCACGTAATTTTATACAATGATCGTATGATCATATGCATAATTATTAGAATTATTGCACTTTTACTTTTTTGGTAAATGAATTAAATATAACGATAATGTTTCGCCTTTTTTTGGTTATTAAGGCTAAATAATTGGACACGAATTATGATATGTTGCTGAAAAAATTATAAGCATATGCATCTTTACTAAACAATTTAAGAAACTGACGCTGATTTGTTTATCTTCTAGAATAATATCATTTCATAATCATTGAATAAACTGGATTTATAATATGAAATCGCGAGCGAATGAACGATTATTCTCCGTGATTTATTATTAAATTATATTTAATTAAAATTATTGTACGATAGTAAACATAATGCTGTCGATTATTTACATGAACGATAAAATCTCAGATAATACATATAAGTCTACGCATGTTAATATTACCAGGAACGGAGTGATGATTATCACGAAGTATATGGTTATAATTTTGCGGCAATTTAATAATGTTACACCACAAATCTTGCAATTGATTGGGCGTTATATTGCATAGTTTAAGGGCGTGAGTTGGGATGGTAAAGTTCCTAGATTCGGAACCTTAGAACTTGATTTTAGAACCTGGTTTTTAAAACCAGGTTCCAATTTTGGATGCAGCACTTTCAACTTTCAGTAACTTTTAAAGAAAAAAACTAATTATAATCGGCAGATCCAAAATTTGCAGACTAGAACAATTTTAACGGAATATATCAAATTGGAATAGTTAATTAATATTACTTAAGAACTGTAGTTAAAATGAATACCCTATATCTCCGAATATAAGCAACCCCCGAATAAAAGCAACCTCCGGATTTTGAAACTGAAAATTTGGCAAAGGTTATGTTTACTAGTAAAATTATTTATGTACAATCTAAATTTTTAAAAGGAAATTTATTTTTCTGCATTTAAGCAAATCTTGAGTAGTTAGTTAAGTTCCGTTCCTGGTTTTGCGCGATGGCGTCGCGCAGCTATCTAGTTAATTTTGGCCTGAAATTAATTTTCGATTACAATAAGGAAATTATTTAGAAAATAGGCCTATTCTACGATAAAAATTGGCTTGGAAAAAATTTTTACTTAATGCTGAATTCGGATTTCCAGTTATTTTTTCGGTTGAAAACGAAATGACCATTTTGAAATTACATTTTCAAATTGCGTTAAAATACAGTACTGTATGTAAAAAGAATAAAGTTTTGCTTTTAACAAAATCTCAGGCTTCGAAACCTTTATTGAGTTATAAAAAAAAAAAACCAGAATCAATTTCCTAAGCATGTTATGAATTTTCGGTTCCTTTTCACCGTTAAATAAACCTATATTTAAATGATAAACTTTTGCAGGCAAATTTGCCTTCGATATTTTACGTCATATCACGTGCGAGCCACTTGGACAATCGATATGTATTAAACACAAATCAGCCATATGACGAAATTTTAGTGTTAGCTACATTGTAACCATTAATATTACTCATCCATAAAAGATTAATTTCATCGACATTAGTGTTAACTACATTGTAACCATTAATAACATACTCTACAGTAACGAGTAATAATTTCATGGGCAATCAATTCCTCATACAGTAATAATTTCATGAGCAATCAATTCCTCATACAGTAATAATATTCGCTGTACGACTATATAAATTTTCGAGACGCAGATGAAAAAAAAAAAAAAAAATTATGGCTAAACGTATTGCAATTATAGGAGCAGGTAAGATATTTATGTACAAAATTAAAGGTAGAAAAAAATTTGTATTCTTGAAACAAATGAATTAATAAAAATTTATAACAGGGGCTTCGGGTTTAGCAGCTATAAAACAATGTCTAGATAATGATTTAATTCCAATTTGTTTTGAACAAAATTCTTTTATCGGTGGGATATGGAGATATGAAGATGTTAGTGAAAAAAATAAAGAACCTTATTCTTCAATTTATAAAAGTATTTTAACCAATACATCAAAAGAAATGGTTGATTTTTTTTTTTTTTAATTCTTGGGTGGACCAAAAATTGAATTTTTAAGTGATCTCGCTGTATCTTTATTAAAATAGACGACATTTTCGGATTTTCCAATTCCTGCAGACTGGCCAACTTATTTGAATCATTCTCACGTTGAATAATATATTTAACCTTCCATCGTTTATCAGGAAGTATTGATATATTTAACACGGTAATGTTAAATTTAATATGAGGTAAAAGATTAAACTTTTCTGCGTACATATCGATGTAACTGTATTTCAACAAAAAAAAAAAAATCATGAAAAATTGTCATTGAAATAATTAATAAATAAATTTTACTAAAACCAAGATTACTTTTCAACTAATGAATGATTCAAATAAGTTGGCCAGTCTGCAGGAATTGGAAAATCCGAAAATGTCGTCTATTTTAATAAAGATACAGCGAGATCACTTAAAAATTCAATTTTTGGTCCACCCAAGAATTAAAAAAAAAAAAAATCAACCATTTCTTTTGATGTATTGGTTAAAATACTTTTATAAATTGAAGAATAAGGTTCTTTATTTTTTTCACTAACATCTTCATATCTCCATATCCCACCGATAAAAGAATTTTGTTCAAAACAAATTGGAATTAAATCATTATCTAGACATTGTTTTATAGCTGCTAAACCCGAAGCCCCTGTTATAAATTTTTATTAATTCATTTGTTTCAAGAATACAAATTTTTTTCTACCTTTAATTTTGTACATAAATATCTTACCTGCTCCTATAATTGCAATACGTTTAGCCATAATTTTTTTTTTTTTTTTTCATCTGCGTCTCGAAAATTTATATAGTCGTACAGCGAATATTATTACTGTATGAGGAATTGATTGCTCATGAAATTATTACTGTATGAGGAATTGATTGCCCATGAAATTATTACTCGTTACTGTAGAGTATGTTATTAATGGTTACAATGTAGTTAACACTAATGTCGATGAAATTAATCTTTTATGGATGAGTAATATTAATGGTTACAATGTAGCTAACACTAAAATTTCGTCATATGGCTGATTTGTGTTTAATACATATCGATTGTCCAAGTGGCTCGCACGTGATATGACGTAAAATATCGAAGGCAAATTTGCCTGCAAAAGTTTATCATTTAAATATAGGTTTATTTAACGGTGAAAAGGAACCGAAAATTCATAACATGCTTAGGAAATTGATTCTGGTTTTTTTTTTTTATAACTCAATAAAGGTTTCGAAGCCTGAGATTTTGTTAAAAGCAAAACTTTATTCTTTTTACATACAGTACTGTATTTTAACGCAATTTGAAAATGTAATTTCAAAATGGTCATTTCGTTTTCAACCGAAAAAATAACTGGAAATCCGAATTCAGCATTAAGTAAAAATTTTTTCCAAGCCAATTTTTATCGTAGAATAGGCCTATTTTCTAAATAATTTCCTTATTGTAATCGAAAATTAATTTCAGGCCAAAATTAACTAGATAGCTGCGCGACGCCATCGCGCAAAACCAGGAACGGAACTTAACTAACTACTCAAGATTTGCTTAAATGCAGAAAAATAAATTTCCTTTTAAAAATTTAGATTGTACATAAATAATTTTACTAGTAAACATAACCTTTGCCAAATTTTCAGTTTCAAAATCCGGAGGTTGCTTTTATTCGGGGGTTGCTTATATTCGGAGATATAGGGTATTCATTTTAACTACAGTTCTTAAGTAATATTAATTAACTATTCCAATTTGATATATTCCGTTAAAATTGTTCTAGTCTGCAAATTTTGGATCTGCCGATTATAATTAGTTTTTTTCTTTAAAAGTTACTGAAAGTTGAAAGTGCTGCATCCAAAATTGGAACCTGGTTTTAAAAACCAGGTTCTAAAATCAAGTTCTAAGGTTCCGAATCTAGGAACTTTACCATCCCAACTCACGCCCTTAAACTATGCAATATAACGCCCAATCAATTGCAAGATTTGTGGTGTAACATTATTAAATTGCCGCAAAATTATAACCATATACTTCGTGATAATCATCACTCCGTTCCTGGTAATATTAACATGCGTAGACTTATATGTATTATCTGAGATTTTATCGTTCATGTAAATAATCGACAGCATTATGTTTACTATCGTACAATAATTTTAATTAAATATAATTTAATAATAAATCACGGAGAATAATCGTTCATTCGCTCGCGATTTCATATTATAAATCCAGTTTATTCAATGATTATGAAATGATATTATTCTAGAAGATAAACAAATCAGCGTCAGTTTCTTAAATTGTTTAGTAAAGATGCATATGCTTATAATTTTTTCAGCAACATATCATAATTCGTGTCCAATTATTTAGCCTTAATAACCAAAAAAAGGCGAAACATTATCGTTATATTTAATTCATTTACCAAAAAAGTAAAAGTGCAATAATTCTAATAATTATGCATATGATCATACGATCATTGTATAAAATTACGTGAGTGCGTAGTTTTTGAGAAAACATCATTTAAATACTTAAATAAGTAAATGATCTTAACATATGCGATGCTTATATAAATAAATTCTTATTACATAGATTTTTTTTGCTTAATTAGAGTTTCGTGAAATAAAAAATATGTTTGAACTTTTAAAAACTTCGTCGGAATCAGATATACATGACCAAAAATAGCTGTGAACCCTTCCCTTCGTTAGTCAGGGACTATCATAATTAAAATTTGTGGAGCCTATTTTAAACTCTTTCTATGTTGGTTGTTAATAAATCAAGCGATGCAAGCATCCTCTTTTAATGCCGTTGCAAATGATATTAATAAATATTTTTTAAATTTATAAAGTTGTCCAAGAACTTACAGTTGGTTGTAAGCAAAAGCAGAGCGAGTTATTTGATAATATGAAGAGCACATGCCCAACGATTTGGGGCAATGTAAATTATTCAAATATTCGGAGTAGTAATGGATTCGCAATTTTTTTTTATTTACTGTTATTGTTTCAAATAATAAATGGACCTATTATATCAACAAGAAACGTTCTTACTATCGGATTAATTATTGTGGGTACCAGGAGCGGAGTTTCACGGAAGTGAAACGAAGAGTATGGTTTACAGCAGGCCTACCGAAAAGTTTATTGGGGTGGAAATTAATTGCAATTATTTGACCTCAATTAATTGATTGGTGGCGCAGC